TATTTTAATCTTCAAGATCTTATAAGGTGAATATGGCCTTTGCAATTGTGTAATGTTGATATAAATTTGAATTGTATGCTAGTTTATTACAAAAATGCATATGTGGAAGATATTCTGTATAATTACTGAGTCATAGTGAATGTGCATTTTAATTTGAAAGATGTGGGGTACAATTCAGGGTTAGGTATACAAATGGTCACTATGTAGGTAAAGTTTGGGCCTTCAGTCCCCACTTCACCTGGCAAATGTGTATTTGTTTTTTTTTTTTTTGAGTTGGAGTCTCACTCCGTCGCTCCCAACCACTGTAGCCTTGACCTGCTGGGCTCAGGCGATCCTTCCACCTCAGCCTTCCGAGTAGCTGGAACTACAGGCACGCGCTACCACACCCAGCTAATTTCTTTTGATTTATTGTAGAGATGAGGTCTCATCAAGTTGCCCAGGTGGGTCTCGAACCTGCGGGCTCAGGCAATCCACTCACCTCAGCCTCCCAAGGCACAGGATTACAGGCTGAGCCACTGAGCCTGGCTATTTTTTTTTTATTGTAGAGACAAGGTCTCACCATGTTGCCCAGGCTGGTCTCAAATCCACAGGCTCAGGCAATCCTCTCGCCCTGGCCTCCCAAACTGCTAGGATTATAGGCTTGAGCCAGAATGTATATTTTCAATTTACTAGATGCCGTGCTATTTCCCCAAAGTGACTGCATCAATTTATACTACCAGAGTTTGAGGATTCTTCTTGCTTCATCTTTATTAAAACTTGTTATGGTCAGACTTTTAAATTAATTCTTTGATCTGGCGAATGTCTAATAGTATAGTGCACTGTGATTTTCACATTCATTGTTGTCATTATTTTTTTGTTTTTTTGAGTTGGAGTCTCACTCTGTCGCCCAGACTGGAGTGCAGTGGCCGCTCCCGGCCACCACAGCCTTGACCTGCTGGGTTGATCCTTCCGCCTCAGCCTTCCGAGTAGCTGGAATTACAGGCGCGTGCTACCACGCTCGGCTGATTTTTTGACTTATTGTAGAGATGAAGTCTCGCTGCCCAGGCGGGTCACGAACCCGCGGGTTCAGGCAATCCACTCACCTCAGCCTCCCAAAGGCGTGGGATTAGAGGCTGAGCCACCGAGCCCGGCTCATTTTTGTCATTATTAATGAGAATATTGGTGTTTTCATACAATAGCCAATTGCATTTTCTCTTTGGTGTTGAGCCTTTTGCCAGTTAAAGCGCTGTCTATTTCTTATTGATTTGTAGGTGTTCTTTACATATTCTGGATACTAATTCTATTACATGTTTTGCAAACTCCTTCCACGCTGTTTCCCCCCCCCCCACTTTAAAATGTTGTTTGGCAAACAAAATCCATTCTTTTTTTTGTAGGCCATTAATTTTATTTATGCAATACATTATTTTATATATTACCAAACTTTTCCTTTATGGCGAAGGAAAAAAATCTTGACTCACGTTAAGAAAAAATAAAGATATTTTCAGGTTGATATAACTTATCTGAAATTCATGGAACCAGATGTTTGGAACACTATTTTAGATATTGGAAAGGTACTACAGAACATACTATATACTGTATAACATTCTCAGTAAGAACAAGGAAATATATATATGCAGAGTCACCTAACATATAAGCAGACTATAAAATGCCCCATGTCATTTTAAGTCATATTTTACACCAAATGAATTCCAAAGAGTTTGGTGTTTCAGAAGTTTGGGAATTTTGTAATTAGTACAAAAGTGATGGTAGTCTTGTACAGTAAGAATGGAATTATAAAGTTTACAGGAACTTACTGATGGAGCCACATACCTGGAACTTGTATGTATGAAGATTCTTTACTATTGATTCAAACTATTTAATGGTAAGGACGATTATTTATATTCTCTATTCTTCAGATATTTCTCTTGAAACTTGTCTAAATTTTGTTTGCATTAATAAGATTCTCTGAATTTTTTGATGTCTATGGTATCTAGTTTCCATTACTGATATAGATTGTTAATATCTTTTATTTCTCAATACTATTATGTGTCAATTTTATTAGTTTCTTCCCAAAAGAACCAACTTTCGGGTTTTTTCAATCTCTTAAGAGGCGGACCTCCCAAAAAACAGAATTCATTTATAAAAAATTATGTATTCTTCCATATTTAAACATCACCTTCAAAGTACTCTCCATTTGATGCAACTCACCTATAGAGACACTTTTTCCACTGCTTACAAGCTTTTGAACTCATCGATTTTGATGCCTTTTCATGCTTCTGTTTTTTGTTTCACCTCTTTCATATTAGCAAAACGTTTCCATTTGAGGACTTTTTTCATCCAGGGAAACAAAAAAAGTTGCTTTGGGCGAGACTGGGTGAAAAAGGAGGGTTGGGCACAGAGGTCATGACATTTTTGGTCAAAAACTGCTGAACACTCAGCGCAAGGTGGGCAGGTACACTTGTAAACCACCCACCATGAAATAGGCAAAGATGCTGACTCTCCAGAAAAAATCACACAAGCCAAACGTAGCCTCGCACAACAATACTAGCTGGTTCACTGATGCTGATGGGTTCCTGGAACACTTACCTAACAGGGGAAAGACTACACTGTAAATGGCCTGCCCTCAAAAGATAATTCTGGTTTTTTTGGGGGGGGTCTCCCCTCATGTATGCAGTGGTGTGCTAATGAATTGACTCCACACGTAACAAAACAAAATCTTGGCTTGTTTGCTCATTTCCATAGTGTGAACAGCCCCATTATAGGCGATTTCAAGCTACAATGATTTGATGTTCCTAATCACAGAACCAGAAAGAGGTGTGCACAACTAGCTCTCAAGCTGGTTCAGGATGGCTCTGGCATACCACTGCTTTTGTTTCTCATCTCATCAGTTTCTGCTCTTAATATTACTTGTCCTCTCAAGGTCTTATTTTGCTCTCCTTTTTCTAACTTCTTGGTAAGAGATATTTAACTTAAAATCTTTCAGCCTTTTTCTAATATACTTACTTATGGCTACAAATGTCTATGTACTGATCCCACAGGTGCTGCTATTGCATTTTATTGTTCAGTTCAAAATATTTTCTTATTACCACTGACTGGGTTATTTGGACTTGTCTTTACAGTTCTTTACTGCTTTCTATCTTAACTACATTGTGGTAAAACATAAATGTGATTTCAATTTTTAAAATTTGTTGAGTTGCTTTACAGTCAAGTAATGTGGTCGATTTTGGGGATGTGCGATGTTTGTTTTAAAAAAAGTGTATAGCTGGGCTCGGTGGCTCAGCCTGTAATCCCGCGCCTTGGGAGGCTGAGGTGAGTGGACTGCCTGAGCCCACGGGTTCAAGACCTGCCTGGGCAACTTGGTGAGACCTCACCTCTCCACAAATCAAAAAATTAGCCGGGTGTGGTAGCGCACCTGTAGTTCCAGCTACTTGGAAGGCTGAGGCGGAAGGATGGCCGGAGCCCAGCAGGTCGAGGCTGCAGTGGCTGGGAGCGGCCACCGCACTCCAGTCTGGGCGACAGAGTGAGACTCCAACTAAAAAAAATAAAAATAAAAAAAAGTGTATAAACCGATTTTGGTTTTCTTGTTCTGTATATATTCACCGTGTCAAGTTGTAACCATGTTATTCAAATCTTCTGTATCTTCATCGATTTTCCTCTTGTTAATCTTCACAATTACTGTTAAAAATCCCCCAATATGATCATGTATTTGTTCCTTATAATTCTGTCGAATTTCACTGTCTAGGTTTCATATATACTTATTATTAGGTTCACATACATTTTAAATCCAAAATACATTTTTTTAAGACTCAGAGTTCATCTGAGACTCTTTCCTTTCACCCCTTTTGTATCCCCTCAGTTATACTTTTATAGAAACTGACCTTGATAAGGCACGGTGTAAAGGTGGGCAGCTCTGGCAAAGCAAAAGCAGCCCACGATTAGAGTCCCTTAACCATCAGGGAAATATTTCTCACACTGCAGACCACAAGATTGGCGGCACAGCTCTTAGCTTCACACAGTTACGCCGAAAGTCTGCGTATGTTGAAACGGGACGGGACCGACACCAGCCCTGAGAGCACCGCTGTCAACTGCTCACGAGTGACACAAGCACTTTTAGAACTAGATGATGGAGCGGATGGAAACTGTTGAGAGAACAAGCTGTCACACCGCTGACTACAAACGCGCTTTTCCACAAGGATTCTGAAGTCGGTAAACGCATCTCTCAAACTATTTGAATGAGCTCTTTTCGTCCCCTTTAAAAGCCCCTTGGCGGCCGGGCTCGGTGGCTCAGCCTGTCATCCCGCGTTTGGGGAGCCCGCGGGTTCGAGACCCACCCGGGCAACTTGGCGAGTCCTCCTCTCTACAATAAATCAAAAAATCTAGCCGGGCTACTCGGAAGGCGGAGGCGGAAGGTTGGCCGGAGCCCGGCGGGTCGAGGCTGCGGTGGCCGGGAGCGGCCACGGCACTCCGGTCTGGGTGACGGAGTGAGACTCCAGCTCAAAAAATGAAAGAATAAAAATAAAAATAAAAGCCCCTGGGCGTCCGGGGGCGGGGCTTAACAAACCGCGGATGAGATGAAAACGCCACGATGACGTACGCTGCCGAGGCCGAGCCGTCTGTCCTTCCCCGGGTTCTCAGCGCGGCCGCTCGCTTGCCACGTGCCCCGGGCGTCCCGGCCTCTTTGCGGGGCCGCTTCGTCCTTCTTTGCGACCGAGAGGCGGGGCGTGGAGCCGCCCCGGCTCCGCCGCGCTCCGTCCAGCTCTCGCCCCCTCCGGGCCGACATCCACACGGACTCGGCTCGCAGAGTCCGGCCTCCCAAGCGGCGCCGGGTGGGACAGGGACATTCAGATTCACGCCACAGTGGACGTTGAGAACGCAAGGCCGTTCTGAGCGTGGACTTCTCCCCCGTCCCTCCCCACCTCCGCGACCCAGAAGACAGCACGCGCGCGCGCGCAGGCAGGAAGTCACCGCTAGACCGGCCGGAAGTCCCGCCCCTCCCGGAAGGCGAACGGTAGCTCGTGAGGGTCAAACGAGGCCGGCCTTTTTTTGCTGCGGTCGGTGAGGTCGCGCCTGTAGCTCTGGGCGGGCGAGGCGGCCCTGCGGCGCCAGCAGCCAGCGTCGCGCCCTCCCCCGCCGGTGGAGCGACCCTTCATCCTCTCGGCGCCTGAGGGAAGCCCGGCAGGGCTAGCGGAGAGGTCGGCTCGTCGGTGGGTCCCGGCGGGGCGCGCGAGGCGTGAGCCCGGGAGGCCCCTGCGGTCCCCGAGCCGGGCCGCGGGCTCCTCTGCGCGGGAGGCGGGGTTGTGCTGCGTGTCCTGCGTGGTGGTGTGTCCCGCCCCCGAACCGGTACCGCGCTTTGGCGGGAGCGGCAGCCTTCTGCCGTGGACTCCGCTGTCCCGCGGCCGCCCTCCGCGGCGGGCGGGGCGGGAGAGCCACGAGCTGCTGCCCTCGCTCGGGTTTCGGAGCCCACGGGCCGCCCGACGGCGGAGCCCACGGCACACCGTGAGATGAGCCCCCACGGGGTCGCTGATTAAGAGCGGATCGGCGTCAGCTGCACCATTGGATTCCCGAGGCATGGCTTTATTTTTTAAGGCAGGGGGAGTGACGTTTCCCCTCCCCCCTTCCTCCAGATGACGAAGCTCACTGAATGTCAGACGCTCTCTTGACCCACAGGTTGATCCCCTTAGGAATGGCAGCCCCGTCTATGAAGGAAAGGCTGGCTTGCTGGGAAGCCCGGGATGAGTACTGGAAGTGTTTGGATGAGAACGCCGACGATGCTTCCCGATGCAAGAAGATAAGGAGCTCCTTTGAAGCAAGTTGTCCCCAGCTGTGGGTAAGTCACCCTGATATGTCCTGTTCCCTGTTAACATACTTGAGCTTGCCTTGTGAGTGACTGGCTAAGAAGTGAAGCGCCGAGACGTGTCCACCGACGTTTTCTTCGAGAAGCGGAGAAAACCTGTCAGCAACCCAGGCTTGTTTCATATGTATGTGCTTATATTTGGGCGAATCTTTGGAGAAGGTCACCTGACACATTAAAGGTCAGTGAAAGACACAGCAAACACGAGAACAGTAACCAAAAAGTTCCCGCTCACTTCATGGTAGATTTCTCCAGGATCTTCTGAAAAGGTAGGATCCAATCTCGGGCAGGAGTTGGCAAACTGATTAGCCTAGAACTACTGTCAGAAATAAGCCAGGCATGGTGGCTTACGCCTGTTATCCCAGCACTTTGGGAGGCTGAGGCAGGAGGATTGCATGAAGCCAGGAGTTCAAGACCAGCTTGAGAAACAGTGAGACCCTGTCTCTTCAAAAAAATTTGCAAATTAGCAGGATGTGGTGGCACAGGCCTGTAGTTCCAGCTACTCAGGAGGCTGAGGTGGGAGGATCATTTAAGCTTGGGGGAGCTTGAGGCTGCAGGGAGCTGTGCTCATGCCACTGCACTCCAGCCAGAGCAACTGAGCAAGTCTTTCTCTTAAAAAAGAAAGAAGTCATTTCCAGTTCGCACAAAATCATATAGTTATATACCCAAAATATAAAGAGCTTCCTAGTTGGAAATTAACGAGGACCAACCTTGGCCTCTGCACATATAAGACTGAACTTTCCTTATCCTGCATCCAATGGACCGCTCCTCCTTTGCTCCTAGCCTCATGAAAGACACAACATCAATACAGGACCAGAGACCTGAATGTCGGCTTTGACTCTTCGGCTTATTGAAGGAATATTCTCAGAAGAGATGTGAGATGAGGCAGGTCTGTGAGCTCAGCTGCCATCCAACTTCAATCTGATCCTCTGGAAGCTCTGGAGTGCAGACTGCACCATATTTCATGGCTTCTGTGCTGTCAGTTATTGGATTTAGCTGAGAACAGCTCTTTGAAGAAGAGGGCAGCCTCCTAGTGCCAGCAGCCACCACCCAGGGCTGCTAGGTGCAGGGGTCTGTAGAGGAAGTCTGGACAGAGGCCTGGGAGTGGCCATTACACCTACCTGTTCAACTGCAGCAGCTTGCAGTTCCCACAGCTCCCATGTGGGGCCTGCATCTATAAAACTCGCCCATGGCCCTGCAGAGCTGAATGTGAGCTCTCTTCAGTCTTTGCTGCCACTGGGTACAGGAGAGGCATGAATATATTCAGCATCAGTGAAAGCACTTGTGCAGGGAGGAAGTATTACAGTTAGTGGATTAAAGTGGAAACTGAGGGTTCCCCTCTTGACAAGAAAAGTCCACATTTTGTAAAAAGGCTTTTTTATTAAAGTTCAATAACATAACCGGCTCATTTTAATGAAATGATGGTATAGAAAAAAAAGATCCCAAATATAGATGATTGCCCTACAGGAATTTGACTCTCCCATCATTTTTTTAGCCCATATCCTGTTCATTAATTCCAGATAATTATTGAGTACCTACTATGTACCATAGGAAAATACAGCAAGAAAAAACGTACCATGTGTTGAGAGTCTTAGACAGTTAGTGAAAGAGAAGGTCCCCAGGTTATTCAAATTCTCAACAGGATCTGTAACCCCAAAAGGGTTAGGACTCACAGGTCTGCACTCTCTTCAGAGACTTATTCATCAAATGCTGATTCAAATTCTAGAATATAAATCACTTAAACAGTTTATATGGCATTTGTTACATTTAAGTTTGTGCTTTTGCTTATCTAAACTGCATACCCTGCCCTTATGCAAATCTTTTTTTCCAACAGATAAAATATTTTGATAAAAGAAGAGACTACTTAAAATTCAAAGAACAGTTTGAAGCAGGACAATTCCAACCCTCAAAAACAACTGCAAAATCCTAGACTGTTCCTGAACTTTTCTAAAAGTTTGAAACTCCTTTCTGGGCATTCAAAAAGTACCATCGATTGTGGGACAAGAGTAGTTTGAATCATGGTGAATATCCATACTTGTTCTCTGTATACAACACTTAATAACTAAGATGATCGAGGAACAGATCTATGAAGAATTTAAATAAAATGGTATTAAATAGAAAACCTATTATAAAAACACGTACCATTTCTTTTTTTGGAATAAAGGATAGGTAGTTGGCAAATATTTTTTTATAATAGATGTGGACAGAAACTAAAGTAAGTAAGTTGTCATTGTGTGTTCCTGGGAGTTAGCATTTTAATACAGGAACTACAAAATGAGATTGGAGCTGAAAGGATGAACTTAAAAGTATACAGGCAAGATAAGAAAAGCCATCTATAAGCAAAACCTGTGGCTGATATCACAGATAATGATGAGTCAATGACTGGATTCCTAGCTAGTTGAGTAAGACCAAAAAAAAAAAAAAAGGAAATAAATAAGAAACACACATTAGGAAGGAAGATATAAACTTGGCTACATTCTATAGTATGATTCTCCTGTAGAATATACTAAAAGATGGACATAAAAAAGCTACAAGAACTAGTAAGTCAGAATGGTCCAAGAAAATATGGTCAACACACACAAAGAAAATTCCATTCCTTTATCCCAGCAGTGAACAATTTGAATATAAAATTTAAAGGTATGTTATAATAGCATCAAAAAAATAAAAAATTAAAGGAATACTTAGGTGTAAGTCTAATTATATATGGAGGCCCATGTTTTGTATACTGACAACCACAAAACATTTGAAAGCTGAGAAGATCTAATTAAATGGAGAGATACACAGCCCTCTGTAGGTTCTACATCAATGGATTCAGCCCATTGGGAGTTGAAAATATTTAACAAAAAATAATACTAACAAAAAATATAAATAAAATACAGCATAACAACTATTTACATAGCATCTGCATTTTATTAGGTATTCTAAGTAATCTAGAGATGATTTAAAGCATAGGCATACTTCAGAGATATTGTAGGTTTGGTTCTAGACTACTGCTGTGAAGCAACTATCACAATAGAGTGAGTTACGTGAATTTTTTTATTTCCCAGTGCTTATAAATGATATGTTTATTCTGGGCAAGGTGGCTGAAGCCTGTAATCCCAGCACTTTGGGAGGCAGAGGCGAGAGGATTGCCTGAGTCCAGGGGTTCAAGACCAGCCTGGGCAACATGGCGAGATCTTGTCTCTACAATAAATACAAAAATTATCCGGGCATGGTGGCACATGCCTGTAGTTCTAGCTACTTGGAAGGCTGGGGCAGAAGGATCGCCGGAGCCCAGCGGGTCGGGGCTGCGGTGGCTCTCTTCAATTCTATGAAGGCTGAGAGATGAGGAAGCTGCAGAATAGACTGAAGCTAGGAGAGGCTGGTTCATGACGTTTAAGGTGTGAAGTCATCTTTATAACATAAAAGTGCAAGGTGAAGCAGCAAGTGCAGATGTAGAAGCTGTAAGTTATCTAGAAGATCTCACCAAGATCACTGATGAGGTATTCTCAGTAATCTAGGTTTGGGAATGAATTTTTGGGTAAAATGTCAAAAGCATAATCCATAGAAGTGAAAGTTAAATTCGACTTTATCAAAGTTAAAAACTTTTGCTCTGTGATAGTATTAGGAAAATGAAAAGATAAGGGACAGACTGAGAGTATTTGCCAATCACATATTTCATTAAGAACTTGTATCTAGAATTAATAACTCTCCTAACTCTTAGAACAGTAAGAGAAATACCTAGTTTAAAAAAATTAAGCGAATAGACAGTTCTCTAAAGAGGCTACATAATGGAAAATATATGCAAAGATGCTCCATATTATTAAATATGAGAGTAATGCAAATTAATACCTTTGTTATGTATAACAACACACCTGTTAGAGTGGCTTAAAATAAAAAGAAAATACAAAGTGCAGACATGGATGCAGAGCAAAAGTCATTCTTACTTATTCTTTCTTTCTTCTGGTGGGAATGCCCAATAGCAAAGCCCCTTTGGAAGTTTTGTACAGAGTTAAACATATGTTCACCTTAAGACCCAGCAATTCTACTCCTAGATTTTTCATCAAATGCAGTGAAAACAAAACCTGTACATGAATGTTATCAAAGCAGCTTTATTCATAATCACCAAAAACTTGAAACAACCCAGATGCCTGTAACAAAGGAATGGAGAAAACAAACTGTAGTTCAGCTATACAATGGAATGCCCCTAAGCAGTAAGAAAAAATGAATCGATTCATGCACCAACACAGGAAACTTAAATGCATTTTGCTTTGTGAAAGAAACCAGACCCAAAAGGCTGTTTTATGCTTCCATTTCTATGATTCTGAAAAAGGCTAAACTGTAGGATAGAAAACAGATCAGTGGCTGCCAGTGTTTGGGGATGGGGAAAGGGGTTGACTGAAGGGTTACACAAAGGGATTTTTAGGGTGATGAAACTGTTCTCTGTGGCATTGTGGTGGTGCGTGTGCACTTGTCAAAACCAAGACTGTACACTATAAAGAGTGACTCTGGATGCACATTAAGATCAACCGGATGATGGGGGGAATTCCAACAAGGAATACAGGTTGTGACAAATGAAGCTAACCATATTATATGATATAACCTCAGTGAAAGAGGCAGGAAAGGGGCTGACCTAAGCAACTTTGGAAAATGATGTTTTGATCAGATACTGTAAAGCGAAAAGGCAGAAAGAACTGTATACAAGCTGTTAAATAAGTAATTATGAGCCTATATGTATACTAGGGTTGAACAAATAAGTAAACATAGATAATAAGAACCAGATTTGTGTCAGAAAAAGCAGTTAAAAATAAGAGATGAATATTAGAATGAATCCCGTGGTGCTGGACTAGTGTCAGAGTGATTACTAAAAAATGCATGTTTATGTCCACATACCTACACAATGACAAATACAGTAACATCTATAGACATGTGCAATACATAGGTTGGTAGACATACATGGATTCCCTAGTTCCATCCACTGAGAGGGCTCCAAGTATCTCCCTCCAAATATTCATTACTGCAGTAGCCTTAACAGGTGTAGCCAGGTACAGTGGCTTATGCCTATAATCCTAGCACTTTGGGAGGTGGCGGCAAGAGGACTACCTGAGTCCAGGGGTTTGAGACTACGCTGGGCAACCTGGTGAGACCTTGTCTCTACAATAAATCAGAAAATTAGCTAGGTGTAGTGCTGTCCTGTGGTTCCAGCTACTTGGAAGGCTGAAGCGGAAGGATCGCCTGAGCCCAGCCCGGGCAACAGAGTGAGACTGACTGAAAAACAAAGCAACAACAAAAAAGGTGTCCCTAAATTCTTTGATACTGCTCCCTCCAAGAAGGAGTTTACTTTCCCTACCCTTGAGAGTAGGCTGGGCGACTCACTTTTAACAGACTACGTAAAGCGACAGAAATACACTTCACAGAGAAGAACATAGCAAACACGACCTTCATCAAAGGATCAAGGCAGTAAGTCCCACGGATCCCATGTACCATCTAACTTGATATAATAAGAAGGGACTTTACACCACTGTAGTATTTCCTTAAAACTCAGTCTAAGGAGAAAAGACCAGACCAACCCAAATTATAGGATATTTACAAGATACCTAGCCAGTACCCTTCAAAAGCGTCTGGGTCATAAAAGACAAGTGCAGACAGACTGTCAGATCAGAGGAGACTAAGGGAACATGAAGAGTACATGAGATGTCGCTTCCTACACTGTCTCCTGGGACAGCACAAGGACAATGGAAAAATGGGAGCTCCAAATAAAGTCTGTAGTTTGTTGAACAGTACCATTATCTGTTACTTTCTCCGTTTTGGTAAATATAAGATAGTTACATAAGATCACCTTATCTGGGTGAAGGATATATGGAAACTCTGTGTCCTCTCTTCACAATCCTTCCGCAAAACACGTTATCTCAAAATAAGTCTACAAAATATATATATACATGTAATGGAGTTTCTTTTTTTTGAGTTGGAGTCTCACTCTGTCACCCAGACTGGAGTGCGGTGGCCACTCCCGGCCACTGCAGCCTCGACCCGCTGGGCTCTGG